AATAGTGGGAGTGACCGTCACATTATAACGCCCCCACGGCTAAAAGGGCAAGCATGTTTGGTGTGACGGGGATTCGAACCCGCGACCCTCAGATTGCGAGTCGAGTGCCCAAACCATCTGGCCATGCTGGGCCATCCATATCTCAACAAAAGATCGTACAGATTTTATTTCTAAGTTTATGTTCACACCTGGGATCCTTTTGTATATTTATTTTTAACTATGGCTTACGTATGTATTATTTATTACAGCGTTAAATTCTTTTTAGATAGTTTATGTTATGTTGGAAAGTTCTCTTTTTATTTTTATCCTCCCTATGTTTCTTATTATTTTTTTACTACAATTCATTTGTAATCGCCATCTTGTGTTTAATTGATTGGACTGTATTGTATCATCAGCTAGTACTACTAGTAGTAGCGTATTTCGTAATTTATAGAGGAATATGAGTCATTTCGGTCAGATGATAAGGTATTTGAGAGCATGATCAGAATCTGTGTGAGTTGTAACTGTACGCTTAGTTAACACTGTTGAAAAACTAATATATTTTTATTTAATAACAAAATGTAATTCTAGGAATGGACGTAAAACTAGTGGCTGACGTTGATACTAATACTAGTAATCTTCTGAACCACGTATATTATGGTAAGTTAACTGTTCTACAATTAGTACAAGTTACAACTTACAAGTAGCAGTACTATTACTAGTAGTAGTATAGGTATAATGTAGTTCACTGTAACTTTAACTATAAGGTGTAAGTTTAATGATAAATAGAAGAGAAGTAGAAATGAGTAAAATTAGGCCAAGGAAAACTACCAGCTCTATTTAGAATGATCAAACCAACCTTTTGACAGGTGTCTTGAAGTTGGTGCATTTTGTACATTTTCATAACATAACTCAAAATTTAAGAACGAGGGACCTATTTTCATAGTAATTAGTATTGATACATCTAGACAGTCACATTCATATTAAAAAAGAAGAAAGCTAACCCTTATCATTTAAATATTTAACTTAAACTCCCTTAAGTTAGTACATCCACCTCATCTGAAGGTAGCCTATTCCCAAGACTAACCTTTCTGTTAGAAAAATATTTTTTTTAGCTGAAGATTACTCTGTACTATACCCTAGTCCTATTGTTTTCATAATTTAATTGATGAAGAAAGATGATACATCAACACAATCAGTTTCTTTAACAATCTTACACCCCTGAGAGAGATACCTTCTAACTCTTCGTTTTTTCAAGGGAGAGAAATTCCAGAGATTTTAACCTGTCCTGGTTTGATAACCTTCCCATCCTAGGTGTCATCTTTATAGTCCTCATCTGAACCCTTTCAAACAATTCAATGCCCTTTAGAAGGTAAGAAGCCCAAGGCTTAATACAATACTCCATATGAGGTCTAACGAGAGACCTGTACAATGAAATAACCTTTTTAGACTTATATTCAATATTTCTGTATATTTAACTTAAAATCCAATTTTTCCTACCATTACAACAACAAACTCCTTGGATGATGTGAAAGACTGATCAGCCAGAACACACAGATCCTTCTTCCATAAGACTATTAAGGTTACTCACTTCACAATTATACTTATATTAGGTTGAAATTATAATAACCCACAAGCATTACCTTTTGTGAACAGTGCCTGGTTTCAATTTGAACACGTGTGGGATTAACTTTCCCATAATTCCATGTGATGTGTAAAGTGCTATTTTATAAATTATCAGTTATCAACTGTACACTTTAATTTTAATTTAAATACTATAAATATATTATTAGTTATCAGCCGCATACCTACTTTTTGGCCACCCTGTGTACATCTTTCAAGAAAGATCTGTCTTTATGTGTCTTTTAGCTTGTTACCAGTTCAAGGGAAGCTTACTAGCTAGAGTTGTTTAAGAGTTTTAGCATCTGGTCATCATTTCATTCAAGCATTATGTGTATGTAATGTTTTGTTTTTTTTTGTTATGTTTATTACAGCTACTTGTACTGTAATGTCCTCCATGGGTCAGTTATAAGTTTATGGACTACCAATGTTGGAATCTGCAGTTGGGTTATCTATGATGGATGGAGTATATATATATATATATATATCCTAATTTGTAGCTTTGGTCTTCTACATACAATAAAAGTTTGGAGTAGCTTAGAGTTCATGTTGGCAAAATAGGTTTTTATGACTCATTCACTGTTCTGGATGATTCACTGTATGGACTTTAGGGGGATCATCTCATTATCTATGGACCCTTTGCTTCACTTCCCTTGAGTTCATCAGATTCTTTACTTGGATTTTCTGTTTCTCATCTATAATTCACCTTTTCCAGTTTCTATTTTATTTTAGGTCTGGAGGTTTTAAACCTTTTCCATGCCAAAGGGATATTGAGGTTGTACTTCATGGGGTTTTTACTCTCTTCTGTTTTTTGGTGTTTCATTCAACAGGACATTGGAAACTTATCTTTCTAGTCTCATTTGTTATCTCGACATTCTTCATTCCTAAGTGAATCTTATGACAGGTCCTTTATCTAGGTTTTTAAAGGACAAATTGAGTTTTTAATGACTGTTTACATGAACTAGATCACCCATCTTCATCTTTCATATGAAAGAGTGATTTGTCAATTTATTGCTATTTAATTTGGTCTGAATTAGGCAATATGTATTCATACATGTAAATGGTTTCCTACACCTGCTCAGTATTGATTGTTAGCCTTACATGAATGATTAGAGGATTCTTGCCTCACACTGATTTGTCCTCCAAGTTTGCTTCTGCTCTGGGTTGAACTGTTCATAAATCCAAGTCCTTGTATTTACTCAATAACTTGTTCATCTGAAGTTTTGTGTTATTACTCTTGAACTATTTACCTGTTTTCTTGGGTTTTACAATCTCATGAGTTTTGAGTGCACCTACTTCTCAATCTGTCAGATACATTCTCTCTGATTTGGAAATGATGGCTTTATAAATAGTAGATATCCCATTTTCCCATTATTATGCTGAGAGATTTGGGTTGTTCTAAATGCATGTCAAGAGATCCTGCCTTTCTTACCCTACCATTGTGTTCTTGTACTCACAGACACTTTGTCTGTGGTGACATAGATATCAACAGGTTTTTTTTGTGGCCACATTCATTTCATGTCTTTCTCTGAGATGGTATTTTGTGGTTTATACTAATGGTTTGGTCTTTCTCTGCTTGATGCATTTGTGATGGCTGTACATCATCTTTTGATTCCAGGTCCAGCTTTTCTAGAAGTGAATGTTTTGAACTTGTGAAGGAAATTACCAATAAAACAGAAACAAATAATTTTTGTGTCTACCCTCTTCATCTTATTTTTGAGGCATTGACCAAGATTTGTTGGTCCCATTGTCCATTTCTTCATTCCTAGTTTGGCCTACCCCACCATGGTTTCCAGGAAATTCACAGCATCCATGGCAGCTATTGCTGCTGTATTTTTTAAAATGTCTGTGGTGCCCTCACAAAATCACAAAGATCCATGGCCACAATCACTTTGGACATCGTGCCCTCACAATCTAAATTTGTATTGAGAACCACAGTAAAGGGAAAACCATTGGAGATCACAAACACTGGACTTACAACCTACAGAAACTACCTTGTTACAAATAATATATCATATAAAATGCATGTAGTGGATGTAGTGAAGTTTTTGCTTTGATTGGCAGTAAAATGTTCATGTAGTTTGTTGAGTCAAACCATACAGCAGGCTCTTATTAGTAGCAAGCAATTCAAGTTAGCACTCAAACAAAAAAACCTGTAGAGCTTACATAAAGACCAACAGGAGGAAGGAGTTAAGAGAGAGAATGCCATGAAACTTTTTTTCTATGGCAGCCAAGTGCCAGAAATTGGAACTTTTTTTTATACGTAGATTACATGATTTTTAGCTGCAACATAGATGCTTATAGAATGGCTTTTTTTTGGGGTTTTTTTTCAAGTATAAACTTTTAGCTCATAGCTCTGTCATCTCTTGACCGATATGAGATCTAATTACAGTTTGGAACTAAGGAGGTCAAACCTCTTTCAATTGATGCATTTGATTGTGTCCATGGTCTCCTAGATTAATTTACTGTAATCCTGCCTAAAATAATTTTAATTTGAGGGTAGGCTTGTAGAGAACCAGTTGAGTAGTAAAATCTAATCGGGTATAAATGAGTGCACCACGCTTGATATTGCTAGCACACAAAAATATAGCTAATAAAAAGGAAAAAAGAAGTGTCATAGATTAATTTACTGTAATCCTGCCTAAAATAATTTCAAAAGCCTTGGCTATTGAGAATTCCCTCTTGTTTATAAAGTGAAGGGAAATAGTATATGCCAATAATTTGGCTCAATAAATTGTATGTGCAAACACACCAAAGTCTTATGCCTTCTACATTAGCTAGCTAGGGTTAATGTTATTGAATTACAAGTAGTGAGCTACGCAATGCAATGTTTGATGTGTGATTTATAGGTTATGATCATGTGCTGTACTGTAGTGTAGGCTTAGCTTAATTTTTATTGGAGACCATGTATCTGATTTTTGTAAACCTTGGTCATGTAGTCAGACAATTTGGGGTTGAATTTTGTTGGTAGAAATTAGACCTGTAATCATTTCACTGTGCAATTAATTTTCAGGCTGATTCCTAAAAAGTGTCAATTTTCCACCAAAAAAGTATAAATTTGACCTTTTGTATTACTTTTTTAATATTGAAAGATGCTGTATTTTCTATATCTGACAGAAATATTCGTTGAAAACTGTATTGGATAGTGAAAAAAAAATGATTTAAATAAAAAAGTGAGGAAAATTGGAAGAAAAGTGTTTTCCAGTAAATAATATAAATGTATGCAAAACTGTGTCAATAATAGCCCAAAATCATTACAAAATATAAAACAAATTATTTAGATAACAATATTCAAGATATATAGAAGCTGTCTTTATATAGATTCTATATGTATTCCTGCAAAGTTGGCAATTTTGTAATGAGGCATATAAACATCCAGATTTCATGGCAAAATGATGGGGCAAGTACAATCAC